CACCTAACAATTTAAATTTTCTATCGCTGTGCCATCTGAGTTTTCCCTCGGACATACAGTACACAAATTACTGAAAGAAGTACACGATCAACACAGTTACTTACATCAGGCAAAGGGTTAGAGAGGAGAGGAGGGCTGGATGATTGGCAGCTGATTTCAGAGACGACATAGACAATACAAACTAATGTCTATGAAAGACAGTGTTTCCCCACCTAGTGCAATGAGGCACGTGTAGTACACACACATACATACACACACACGCGCGCGCACACACACAATCTCACATACGCGTACACACACACACACACACACAAAATGGCTCCTTGTAAAGACAAGACAGAAGACACGTTTGGCTCCGAGACGAGCTTTTCAGTCTGTGGATGCCGGGATTCAGGGAGTGAGGGAGGCAAAGACGGAAAAAAAGGACGAGGGAGGCGGTGAGCACGGAAACGTGTCACACACAAGGTCACAGTGACACACACAGGCATACACACACACACAGACACGCACAAATACAAAACAAACACGCCCACAAACACAGAAACACACACTAGTAAAAGCGACACGGACGTGTGTGTCCTTCTAGAGTCTTGTCAGGGACATGATATGGACTCGGAGAAAAAAAAAAAATTGTCTGTTGAAGCTCGACGATGAGTTCTTGAGAAATAAAATATAAAGTCCTGGAATGATAGAAAAATAAAATAGAGTGGTGATATCCGTCCCTGTGGGATACATCCTCCAGCGAGTGCACTCCAAACAGATGCTGGTCCAATTCTAAACCCAGGTTTCATTCAGCCTGCTCAGTCCTGCGTTAGGAAAAGTCTGGTGGTTTGGCCTGAAAGCCGGAGACGTTCAAATAGTTCATGTCTCTCAGATGCTCACACTGTCACATCCTCAGTGGACTGTAAAATAAATAACATGAATAAACTCCATTCCTGATGGCTGCATGTACGTTTACTGTATCACACAAACGACAGAGGGAAATAATTCCAAAAAATACTAATGAGCACCATGAGGACTGTGACAAAAAGCAAGAGGAAGAGGGACACATTTCAAGGTTGCGTAACATGCTTAGACCAATGAGTCTGTCCTCATTTTTCGCTCCTCTGACATCAGTAAAGACCACCGGACACTCCGTTGTCTATCCTCTGGGGAAAATGAGCGAGTTAGCTCTGAAACCAGAGGGTGCGGACCCTGGAGACGGCGTCCAAAATGGCTGGGAGAATCCACCAGAGATGTTTTGTCCTGCTAAAGTACTACGTGAGATGTTTTCCTATACAGTACGGCAAATACTGTACACCAATGTTGCAAAGAAAAATATTGACAGAGGAATTTTCTTCTTTTATAGTCTGTACAAGGGCATGAACCTTTGGTCCTGGTTGGAATGACCATTCTATGATGGCTTTCTTTTTTTCTTTTTTGTTTTCAAGAGAGAAAAGTTTGTCACATCACACGCCTTCTAGATGAAATACTACACTAATCTGAAGCACACATGAACTACGCACATACTACAAACTCAGTATTTGTGTATTTATGTGTGTGTGTGTGTGAGAGAGAGAGAGAGAGAGAGAGAACGAGAGAGAGAGAGAGAGAGAGAGAGTGTGTGTGTGCGTTTCCTTGCTTGATCCCAAATTTACACCTGATATCAGTCCTACAGTACCGTTTAATGTCCGCATGTGTTTGTAAATGTGTAGTCTGATGCTCAAAGTGTAGCTCGTGATGGATGTAGTTGATTTTTTTTTTTGCCCCCCGCCTCGGTAAAGACAGCGCAGGAGTTGAAGGATTCATTAGCAGGAGCAAAACAGCACTAGCAGTTGGACACTAGCAGTGTCTCCGTGTCTCTCTGTCTTTAATGGAGAGAATTATTCACAGATGAGAGGAAAGAAAGGAAAGTCTGGAGCTGTAGAGATGATAATGACCTGAGGAAAGAGGGAATAAGGGAGAAGAGGCAGATTAAGCACATGAGAGACAGTAGGGGGGGGCGAGAGAATATATAAACAGCATGCAGTACTGTAAGTTCGAGGGGAGGAGGGGGAGAAGCATTACATAACCCATAACATCTAGATTATACAGATGCTTCTGCCTTAGAGCTCCTACATCTGACAGCTCCACAGCCTCCACTTTATCACACGCTCACAGTTAGGTCATGCTTTTAAAGCCTTGACTGGTTCTCCTGTGTAAATCTGGCTGGAGAGCATCCGCCGCACGGTACGCGGATGTGTGCTTAAGATTCCAATAAAGTGCGTACGTTTTACGAGCAGAAATCAGGCAGGCGTTGGATTGTTTGCAGAATACAAATACAGCACAATACGCCAATGACTAGAGAGCAACAGTGCGCTCAAAACCATGCTGTTGAGAAGGAGGAGACGCTCACAGTTTTAATCGGAGTGGGGACTGTCCACCACGATGTGCGGCTTCGGGGAGGATGCTGGAGCAGGCTTCGACACAAATGTACCAATCGCTTTTTCCTGCAAGGAAGGAGGGCATTTTGCTTCTGTTAATTCTGCATGACAAGAATAACTACCTTTTTATGCATTCAGCCGGAATAAAAAACACCTTTAGTAACACTACTATTAGTACTACCTGCATGTGCGCGGTGGTTAAAAAAAAAAAAAGTCTGTTTATTCATGCACATCCTCATGTCTGTGTGTTAAATGTGAGCCAGCAGTCAGTTAATTGGGCATGAAGACTCAGAACGTGGTGAAACAGCTAACACGGCTCAGTATCATGTGTAACATTTTACTTTCATGTACAACATTGTCAGCGTAATGTGTTATATTTCATTTTCATCGCAATATTTAATTATCATGAGTGATCTTACTTATTGCCTCAGCATAATTATCAGCATTAGTTTGTACCATTATATATTTAGCCTTGTTTTAGCTTAGTTATTTCATTTCAGTAACGCACTTACATCTGATAGTTTTTCTTAGATTGTGTAATTTGTTTTTTCAGAGCAATATCTGTTTCCTTTGGGATTAGCTTTATTTTATCTTACAAATATAACAAAACTCAGCCTTAACAGCATTTCTTCAGTTTAGCTAAACTTATCTATACATACGCTTGCATTACATGTTGTTTCTTTTACCCTTTCATGGCTTCATTTTTACCTTTCAATACTTTCTTATCTATTTTAAACAACAACAAAAGAACAACTTTGCCAAAATCTTGAACTATTCCTTTAACTGCAGCTTGAATATTTCTACATTATGCTACAATATGTCAGGGGTAAATATTGTATTTATAACTTTATTGCGGCTATAGCTAGTAATTACCTTTCTGTGATTAAAGCTGGACTTGCAAATCATATAATTAGCTTTTAACATATGATGCAATGGTGCAGATTAATTTCCAAACAACAGTATATAAAGTAATTAAAAGTTGTTCCACGTTATGACACATCCTGCATATTAAGTGCTTTTAAATTCATAATTACATGCATGGGACTTTTGCTCATAGTGAAATAAATAATTATTCCATCACTGCTACTCCTTCTACTGTAACTGTACCATTGCCTCCATCGTTACTGCTGCTCCCTCTGCTACCACTACTTCCAATGCTAATCATCATAGGATAAAAAATCATTTTGGCTGCCGCGTTCAGCGCCAACAGAAAAATTGGAACGCAGCGTAAGGTGGTCACAGTCGGGACACATGGCTGAACACACACTTACAGTCACGAACACACACATGATCATATGCTCATTACCTCCACAAGCTGATGCCAGTGCTCTATTGGTTTGCGTGGATTGGCCAGCATGGCTGCCCAGTGCTCCCTCCCTGGACCTTCAGCTTCGCTGCCCACACGACACATCCCTATAACCTCATTATGACCAATGCTGACACGCAGCAAAGGCACAGCGGGAAGGAAACAAGGACGAGAGAGACGGAGGGAGAGAAAAAGCAGACAGTCCGAAAAGAGAAGGGGGTGGAGAGACGGATATAAAAAAAACCAGAGAGAGAGAGCGAGAGAGAGAGAGGGAGAGAGAGAGACAGGGCTTGTAAGAAACAGGCAGAGTCTCATTTATCAACCTTGAGTACTGGGAAAAGAGTACAGCAGTTGAGGAAGGATATTGAATAGCAGCTCACAAATACACACAGCCCTGCATAAAAGCTTGATGTCAGTGGGGAAGCGGGCACGAGTACAAACATACAAAAGCACACACCTATAGAGATGCCAAATGGAGGGCAGACTACATAATAGGGAGGCGGTGCATTTATACACAAACACATCAACCAGCCAAGTGTTGCTGCAAGCGGCAGACAGACAAACACTGGCAGGGTTACACTTCTTCCTTCACCATTAGCATAAATCATGCTTATTCATGAGGTGCCCGTCTATGTAAAACAGGGAACATCCACCAGGAGGCTGACTCATGAGAGGGCCCTCATCGTGTTCAACACAGCCGCAACACCATCAAAATGCGACGACCCAAAAGCAACATCACACTGTATGTGGGAAAACACACATTCAATAAGCAGCTCCTTCACAGTAATGATCAGTTTGATCTTAAAGCCCCCGGGGCATGCTACCATATAATAACACCTCAACCTACTCACCAGTCATAGTCCATCACTGCAATGATGATGGATACACTTTCTATGTTTTCATTGGGAATGTCAAACACCAGCGCCTCGTTGTACGTGGGGTTCAGTGTGTTCTTCTTAATGGAGGTCTTCCTCTTTTTTAGCCTTCGGCCGTCACATATCAGAGAGGCCTTCACGTACGGGTCTGAAGCAGAGTCAGAGAAGGATGGAGAGAGAGAAGAAGAGTGAGAGAAAAAACAAGGTAGACGAGAAGGAAAACAAGCGGGTTGTAAAAAAAAAAAGAAGAGGGAATTTGGATAAGAACCAGCAAAGAAGAAAGACAGGGAGACAGAAAAACAGGAGGGAGGAAGCAGAGAGAATAAGATAAGGGGTGACTCCTGCGAACGCTGATAGGTATTATGTTCACAGGTATCCGCATCTGTAACACATAAAAGGCATGAAAATCAAGTCACCTTGGCAAAGCTGGATTAAGAACACAAAGGGAGAAAAAGCAGCACAGGTTGAATCACTCCAGTTATCCATTCAACATGTGCAGCTCAGTGACAGCAGCCAGGAGAAAACACACCCACGACTCAGTTTTTATGCCGCATTTAAGCATCTTTCAGGCTCTGCAATCACGCTGGGATCACTGTGGCAATAATAACAGCGTGTGGTCATTATCATTCGAGATCCCATTTAATCCCAGGGCATTGCCGTTGCAGTCATCAAGTCTTTAAGTGAAGGATGATATAAAATAAAATCTCTTTGTAATGTAATGCGATATTTGTTAATTAAATATTAGCATTAGCAATCACTGTGATTTGCAGACTCGCTGCACATGTTGTTCAAACTACACCTGCAGCTGATTTTGCTGGTGACACCACTCACTGCAAACTCCATCTGTCCATCCATCCATCCATTATCTATACACTACTTAATCCTCACTAGGGTTGCGGGGGCTGGAGTCTATCCCAGCTGACTTAGGGTGAAGGCAGGGGACACCCTGGACAGGTCACCAGTCTATTACAGGGCTACACTTAGAGACAGACAACCAAGCACACTCACATTCACACCTACGGACAATTTAGAATCACCAATTAACCTCAACATGTTTTTGGACTGTGTGGGAGGAAGCCGGAGAACCCGGAGAGAACCCACGCTGCACGGGGAGAACATGCAAACTCCACGCAGAAAGGTCCTGGGCATCCTAACCAGGGAGTGAATTGGGGATCTTCTAGCTGCGAGGCGACGGTGCTAACCAGAAACAAACTCAGGAAATATATTCACAATGTATAAACTTTGCATCTTCTTCATGAAGTACTTCTTCATGAAGTACTTCTTCCATAGTTTGAAACAATCAATCTGATGATGTTGATGATGTAAACTTCAGGAATTATTAAGCTTCAGGTAGGCTTTCAGAAATTCCTTCACCATTTGTATGTAAACTTGTTGGCTTTACTTGCAAGTGGAGGTAACAGTAGTGAATAATGAAAGTCCAACTGGCAACATACTGTATCTTGGAGCTGGAGAAAACTGCTTCTTCCTTTGCTGTTAAATGGTATAAAACTGGCGCCATGTTTCCTAGTGATGTTTACATATAAAAGAAATATGGCTTCATGACAAACTGTATGTTGGGCCAGTGATCGCTCAAAATAATGTATAAACCTAAAAGAACTCAGGAAAGCAGCATCCATCACCAGCAGCATCGTTAAAGCTGTTTTCTGTCATATTTTTCCTGTAAATGAGTTTCCAGTCCGACTGCTTGCTGCAGGTCTGGCGGCAGCATGATGCGTGCAAGTGTGTTAATCCTTTACCTGAGAAACCAGTCAGGTCCATGGCTTTGAGGTTGGTGGCCTTGATGATTGTAGCAGTGAGCCTGCCTGCAGTGGGCAGGTAACACAGCGAGAAATTAAGCTCCCCGAGATCAGCCTTCTCCTGTAGGTCACCACATACACACAAACAGGGATCAGAAGTGGAGCTGGGACGCTGCGATCACACACACATGACATCAGACAGAGAGACAGCTCGGGAAAAACACTAACTGACAGATATCCTTTGGTTTGCTATGATTGTCTGTGGCCTGAAAAGAGCTACATCTGTGACTGACGGTGGGTGACAGCAGACGTCCTAATGTGGACAGGCAGAGTGTTTAGACGGAGGGGAAGTGCCGTCACTGTAAATGAATCATATGCCAATCTGTCGAAGTCCCCGAGTGCAGGAAAGTGTTAAGTAGAGACGATGATTCTCCAGGCTTTTTATATCTCCCCCTCCACTCCCATCTACTGATCTTCTCGCTGCCTGTGGTCTCAGTGGCACCGCAGTAATGACACTGGTGGTATTCAGGTCACACTGTGGTGTGATGACTCCTTAGTGGCTTTGAGGCTCACTAATCAATACTTCCCTAAGTGAAACACCGAAAAGCACTGAGACGCTGATGCTTTAAACTTATTTAATAAATTAAATGGCCATGCCAAAAAATTTTAAGACTTTGCTCTATCTAATTTGCTAATAGCCTTCTATGAATATTTCATATAAATCTACTTGGACGCTGCCTAATATAAAGTTTGGATGTGGCTGCAGTGCCTTTTCCAGTAATCTATCTGGACTCTCCTGAGCTGGTTTTTCATTTTACCAGACTCTGAATTAATCTCTACTGCAGGCAATTTCCTGTCTGGGCAACTTCTGTGCATCTTCACTATACAGTAGAATCTTCAGACACCAGACGATAATGCACATGTTTCTTTAAGTCTTGTGAACGCAAAGGAACATTATCATAATTTGAAAGAAAATAACAAGAAAATAAAGATCTGAGTCCCCGCAAGCTTGATTGATTATTCTTTGTTGTCTGAATGATCTGAAATAATTCGATGATAAACTTAAATTTTGGTGTCAACCTTAACTTGATTTTCCAGATTCAGAAATGTCAGTTTAATTCTAGAAACAAAAATGCAGCTTTTTAATAATGAACACTTACATTTTTCACATTTGTGAAAACTGGAAAAAAAAAACTGTCTTTACCACTGAACGCATTTCAATGGCCTTTTAGAAATGCCAAAGATTGGAATTTAAAACCACAAGAATTCAGATAGATAGTTTTCAAAATAAAATATGTCACTGCAACCTAAATTATTAAGTAAGTGTTCACTTGTAAAATTCAAGTAGAGCTTTTCTTTGCCTCAGTATTTACATTTGCTACCACAGACTGACGCTAAAAAGCTCTTTAACAGTAAAATCTGCACCTTCTTTTCCTCTGTAGTTGTAGTTTTAGTAAAGTTTCTGGTTTTTGTGAATTAAATATAATTCATATTGTTGACATGCAGTAATCCTGTACTCTGAGACATAAGCATGTATCGTACTGTGAAAAAGTTTGGGTACTTCAGACATACATTACACATCAACATCAAGGAGGCATCTAATCCATCTCAAGTCCTCACACAAAGTGGAGTCATAAAGAATTATGTGCAGCCACAAAAGGAACAAGAAGTCCTGCAACAGATGTTCTGACCCCGCAGACCTCTGATCATCATGGAGTCAGTCTGGGGTTATATTAAGACCAAGAAGCACCTGAGACAGAGTGAATCCACAGAAGAACTGCAACTAATTCTCTACAACCTACATGGAGGATTGGTGCAGTTTTAAAGACAAAGGATGGTCACACCAAAGATTAATTTCTGTTTACTGCACTTTACATTAAGTTAGTTTATGATTCAGAACTAGTCATGATTTTAATTTGAATGTGTTCCCACTTTACTTTTAATGTCTAAAACTTTGTCACACCACTATGCTATTTTTTGTCCAACTATTATTATTAATACAGGACAGATTTTGCACATTCTGCCAACAACAATATATACTCTCGGAAAGAGTATTTACCCCATATTTCTATTTTCTCCAAGCTGTGAATCACTTTCATTTTCATAACATGGTGAGATGCATTTCTAATTGAAATCTCCAACTGAACTGTGTTGTGTTTGATATGCTCGATTCCTGGTTCAGTTGTATTTATCACAGATTCGGCCCATAACTTCCACCTGCAATGGCCCAAAATCACCAGAAGGCTCATTTCAATTTCAACTCATCTAATCTATGGTGGATATCTCCTCCAAATGAATGTGGCTACTTTGGGTCATTTCTTACCGCAGTGCCCTCCACGATGTCCCTCCAGACGGGTTTGTCCCCGCTGCCCTCGCTGAAGTCCAGCAGGTTGTCCACCACTACCTGGCCTATCAGGTCGTGTCTGGAGAAGCGGTCGAAGTCATACACAGAAAAATGCAGCTTCCTGGAATGTAGCTCATTCAGCGGCACGCCAAACTGAAACGTCTCGTTGAACACTGGGTTTAAGGTCTTTCTGTGGACCTGGAAGGGACACAGAATTTATGGTAACACGTTAGATCGTAGCTTGCAAATTATATCATTAATACTTTGTATATACAAATACTTAGCGAGCAGATAAAACCGTCTTATAACAGGGAATGAGGCGGTAACAAGGGACTACTATGTATGGTTTACAGCCCACATACCCTGGACTATCATCACATCTTCAGTGGTTCCTTCTCATAGTATACATCACGAAAAGGTAATGCCCATTACCTCAGCTTGAACTACTCAAAAAACAATAAACTCCCCAAAATTTAAGACATTCCAAACTACACTCCACAGTAGTTCTTGTACTCTACGATGTCAAATAAACTTGATGAGAAGTTTTGCAAGTAGACGCATATGTATCTGGCTCCTTAAAGGTTTATGACCTGATGACTCTGCAGCACAATAAAACCTATTTTGTTCTCAGTTTTGACCACCTTCTAGCTCTCACGCTAGAATCCAACACTGAATTGTTGCTCCTCAGTGCTGTATTACCCCTATACATACACAAATAATATATACACATTACTTTTTCATCGCTGTATGTACAGCGATACCCAGATCTTTTACGCCCTTTGTTTTGCCTAACCTGAATATTGTAAGTTATATTAATTACAATAGGCTCTCAGTGCTAATTTTACCTTTATAATGTAATTTTGTTGTATTTGTCTTTTAATATGCCATCATTTCTCAGCATTTTTTTACTGAAACTCATCCCATTACAGTGTGAAGGCTTTGATTGCACTTTGCTTGAGTAATAATATTACCGTACTGTGCAACTATTAAATACATTAAAGCCCAAAGTTTTCTTGTAACCAAGACAAATTTTGATTACTGGTAATAGTAAATTTGTCTTTGGCCAGCAGGTTTCCTTTGGCTGGAAAACACATAAACAAATGACAATAAATGCTAAGATACCTTGTTGGACATGTTAGTGTAAAATGTAAAAAATTAAACAGGACAAGTACACAAATAGTTAAAATTGATAAGAGACATCTCACACACAATGTCTTACCATCTTTTGCCACTTGTATATCTCATTTCCAGCCAGAAAAAAGCCTGTGGGTCAAATAGGAATTCACTGCAAATCAAAACTCTGCATAGGTATGAATAATTTTGGGCTTAACTGTCAGTGGTTGATCAAGGTAAAGAATAAAAATAAAAAGGTTTTCACCTCCTTATCCCTAAACCTCTCATCTGCTTCCTCTTATATTTGTCTCTATACAGGCCCCATATTATTTATGCAGCGTATTTGCTAAATAACTACGCAGTAATTTGTATGCTGTAATCTGCAGTGTTGCCCTTTAATACAACAAGTAATTTCATATTTGAGTCTCTCCCTCATTATTGCATTCCAGTCACAGACGTGAGCCGAGGTTTTCACAAAGATAAATTCAAGAAACCCAGCAGGTTGTTTGACAGCACTTAATGCTGTTTTGAAATCACATCCAGAATCCTCGGGAAAAAAATCTTAAGACTTTTTATTGCTATGAAAAACTAATCTGCTGCAAAGTCGAATACATTTTCAGCCTGTTTTCACAAAGTGCAACTCTTTCTTCAACCAAACAAACAGGATATTTTTATATCTGTTTTTGGATTTGAGTTTCAGCAGCAGTGTGTTTTTGTTTCCATTGCTTTTTTTTTTTTTTTTGCCTGTTTCCTTCTCCTGCAAACCACCCAGCTCTTTTCCAGCCTTATCCCCAAACAAACTGGAAACATAAAAGGCGTCAGTACCTGCAAACCTACGAGCTACCAGAGACTTGTTGACAGTCTGAGAGCTTTGATTAACTGCCTGCGGGATGAATCACATTGTGCTGGAAACAGCAAAGCAGACATCATTACATGGAAATGTCATAGAAATTGATCTACATTATTTCAAAAACAAGACATACCGGGACACAGAATAGCATTACAGAGCGGTTTGATTAATAGTGTGGCAAACCTGCTGAAGTGTCCTTGGGCAAGATAATTAACCTCTAACACACTGGCTGACCTTGTTCCTTCGCCAGAGGGAGAAAAGTGAATTTCTGCTTTTTCCTTCGGGACCAAAGATCAAATCAAACCCACTGAAATGAAATCAAGACCTGAAACTAAATTTTAAATTATGTCCTGGAACATGCAAGAGGCCCAGAAGTTCTCTCTTTTAACCATTTTTGACATATTTTCTATATATACCTATGTTTATTCCAAGTTAGCTCACCTCCAGTGTGTCGAATATAATGCAGAAGTTGAAGAATGCAGTCCGACGGAAAACGAGATTCGAAAGTAAGTAATGGACAGCAAACTGTGGATATCTTTCGCAAATTTGTCTTCAATCTCATTCAATGTGCAACACAAAATTGTACTATTTGTTGATTTGCCATTGGGTTTTATGTGCTATGAAAGCATTTTGATATCAATCCCGTCATGCACTAAAGCATGTGATAATTAAAATGTGACACACACCCGATTTTCCGAATCCAACTTTTGTCCCTGCATGAGTGGGTCTGTCAGTCCAGCTTATTAGCACTTGATGATTACTTGTTAGCTCTGGATTAAACGTGCGGCCGATGGAGGCGAGTTTTAGGAACCTCGAACACCAGCCCCAGCATCTACTCGCGCCTGATGTCTGTTTCTCTTTTGAAATTACTTGCAGGGATAAAAGCATCGCAAAATACGAGTGGTGTAAAAATTCAATGTTAATGAGGATGTGATTGAAATTAAACAATCACCTACACTCCAAACAAAAGAGGAGCCGTATTATGCAAATGACTGAAGCATTCATTCTTTTCAGTGGCTGAAGGGGCTTTTGTGATATGCAGTCGCACAAAAGAGGAAACCAAAAGGGAGACATTTCCAACTGGTACGGCTTCATTGTCACTGAAAGCTTACTTTTCGCACTTTCCCAGCTCTGTACTCAATTCTGACCCTTTTAAGCTTCGAATTTCTTTCTGTTTTATCCAAATACTGTACAAAAGTACTGGTGATATTTATGGATATAACACAGAAATATAACTCACATTTGTAAGGCCTCTGAGCTCTTAAGTCTTGAGCTTCTCCACAGAGAATAAATTAGGAGAGAGCAGGATTTTTTTAAGGGCTAAGGGTACGTTTCCTGGTACAGAACGTCCCGAAATGTACTCAAATATTGACTCAACTGTCCTCCAACACCAGAATAACACACGGGAGTTGAGTAGCAGTGGCCTGTAATAGTCTGGAGCACATTATCCTGAATAAATTATGCCCCAGATTAGATTAGATTACATTAGTGACACTGTAATGATTCTCCACCAGGAGGCCGGGTCATCAGAGCAGCAGGAAACAGGCAGAAAGCAAACAGAAACATCGAGGAGATTCTTCACTTTATGCTCGTTTCCGCAACATTAAGAGCGCAGTTTTCCACTTGAGGATACAGGTGAGTGTGGTGAGAGTGGGAGGCACCTTTGTCTGGAATTTCTTCTTCCTGTCTGGCAGTAGGTAAATCTTCACGTACGGGTCAGAGAAGCCGTTGGCGTCCTTCGCTGGCAGGTCCAAAGCTTTCAGTATCTTCACCACCAGCTGCTCCGTGCTGAGACAAACACACACAGAGAACTCCATTAGACTTTCACATTGTTGTTAAAAAAAAAAGAAAAAGAAGGCATAAAGCCAGGGGTCGCACAAATTTACACAAATATTCTTCGAGGCAGACGAGATCAGCCCACACACACACACACACACACACACACACTTACAAACACCTGTGCAGAGTTTGCGCACACATAATGGTGTGGGAGGTTGTGTGTGTCTCTGGAGTAGCCAGAATAGCATGTGTGTGTTTGTGTGTCGTCCCCGCACTTGCATCACGGTTGCACTCTCAGCGAAGTTAAGTGTAAGCACAGTAAGCACAGATGTACGGCCAGTGAGACAGAGTCTGTCCGAAGCCGAGCTCATTAATTACCTTTAACACAGTAGCCTTTATTCTGCAGTCACTAGGGTCAAATATACAGAGCTGTGGGTGCACAGAAGCAGAAAAGACTACTGAGTAATAGTCCTAATCTAACTGTTTCATACTAATATTGCTCATGTATCATGGTGCTAATTTGTCAGGCACAAATGCTTTCAATTTGCTGATTTCAGCTTCTCAAATATGAGGAAATGCAGCTTTTCTTTCATATGTGCAATAGCAAATTTCCTATCTTTATCTATTTTAAAGTGCCGTCTTCTCTGGAAAAGAGGCAATCTTTCAAGATTTCATAGATATGTTTTTATAGAAAATATCATGACTGAACAATGAGAAATAGCTGCAGCCTTATAGGAGAGATACACACAAAATATCTAAACCATGCAAGTATTTACCATCAAACACATTTGGGAAATCAGTTACATATTTTTTGTATATTTTAATCAATACTGCACCAATTATTTCACTCAGTGGTTCCCAAATTAGGAGCTGCAGCTTGACAAGAGATCCTAAGATGAATCTAAAGAGGTCTTCAAATGATACAATACTGCTAACAATAAATGTGTCTATTTGGGGATCTTTTATTGAATGTTTGATGTTTTTTCCTTTTAAATAGTACAAAGTTTTGCCTCTTAAAGGATCTAAAATTACTGGGATAAAATAATCTGCAGCCTGTTATGATCGATCACATAGGAGACGTGGCTTTATGTTACAGGGCTGTTTAGGTGTAGCAACCACTGATCTAAAGAAAGACATCCTCAAGGTAAACTGATTATAATGGAGCATTTCAAATTGATTTCAAGCTCAGCGCACATAATGTATGTTTCATTTTCTTCCTAGTTTATCTGTAATGCAGCTGTAAACAAAAGTGTAGCTGAAGATCAAAATTTGAAAGACAAGTTTCATGTGGCATCACTTCCAAAATGATTAAAAGGTATTTTATTACAGAAAAGAAATCAATCATTTGATACCCTTAAAATAGATGTATTTTTAAAAATTATTATTCAGTATTTCATATAAGCAGTGTAGTAAGACAAGTCTGTGTTTTCAGTTATAACAGTACACATGAAAGGCTGCAACTAACAATTATCGTCAGCAACAATTAATCTGCTGATTATTTTCTTCATTAGATTCATTTAAATGTAAGTAAACAGTTTAATTAAATCTTCAGTACTCTTATTTTGGTCTACAATGTGTCAAAGACCTGAAAATATTCAGTTTACTCTTAAATAAAACAGAGTAAATCAAGAAATGTTAAAATTTGTGAAGCTGCACTTTGGGTACTTTTGTGTACTAAATGACTCAATTCACCAGTTATCAAATTGTTCTTAGTCATTATTTTAATATTTCATGTGACCCAAAAAACTAGAAATTATAGCTTTACTATCACAAACTCAAAGTGCTGCATCACTTCAGGATAAAATGCCAAAATGGCAGGAATATTACACTTCACATGTATGCTGTTTGACATTTTCTGGCATGAACATGTTTAAAAGGAGGTCAACATAAGTGAGAAATTGAACTCTCAGCAGCTTTGGCCAGAAACAGCTTTACTGGCCCTTAAATATCAACAAACCATGCAGACACACGCTTACAAATGCACGTGTAAGCAGTGCAGCCGGACTCTGAGTTGTTCTTTGTCACGCACACAGATATGCAAAGCATGCAGCACACACATGAGCAGGCGGATGCACACGCCTGTACATCTGAATGCTCCATCACAGTGTCATGGCTGCATTTCCTACGCTGTTTAATATGTATTTAATTACCAGATGAAGACGAAGACGGCTCGGAGGCCTTTAATCAGACCTCGTTAGACTGTGTCTCCCCGTGTTAAGCAGTGTGTCAGCACTTCATTAGCTGCTTTAGGAGAACACTGTGAACTTGGGGATGAGGAAGGATCCGCAGGGCAAATGCCAACAGTGACCCCGGAAGATAGCGTCTTCTGTCCGTGTGCAGCGATCACACACGACACGCTTTTCAGCAAACAAGCGTGGTCAATTCGAACACGTGTTTACCTCTGAATCACATCCAATTAAGGCGATCGGATAAACATGCCTACTCTGCAATCACATCAAATCAGAGAGGATGCAGACGGTAAACTGCATTTCCAGGCAAACAAGTATTTCAACAGGAAAGGCCCCTAATTTAAATATATATCTAATCTATGTTTAATCCAGTATAAAATTGTATAATATGCTGGTGGTGGAGGCTTTGCAGTCACCACGATAAACCAGCGGTGCTGCTCAGATGTACAATAATTGGAAGTGACAGGAAGCTTGTGTACAAAAAAAAAAAAACAAACAAAAAAATTCCATTCCCTGATCCTGATGAATTTTCCTGTATTTGTTATTCGGTACAAAGACGTGGCTGCAGGTTTTTTTTTTTTTTTCCTGCACTCACGTGTCTTATTACAGAACAAGACATGAGCCTGGACCAAAACCCAGGTTTTAACACAATCCCCGAGGCATGCTGCAGAGAATATACCTATTACTGCTCGAACAGAGAGTGAAATTCACGGCCTTATTCCTGGCAGACAATGCCCGAAAGCTAGCTGTTATTCCCACAGAGGAAATGTGTCAGCTTTTAATGGGATTGTCAATAGAAATGCCTTTCCCAGAGGATCTGAGGAAGATTGACATTGTTGTTCGGCCTGTTACGCTCCAAACAGCAGGTTTCACACATTAACATACCAACCTTATCAACATTCTCAACAATGTGTGTCTATCCACACACATGCTTGTTGTCTCCAACCTTTCTTCTTTACTCTGCAGTCACTTCCTCTAACTCCTCCGGCTGAAACAATTTCCCTCCAGCGTGATGACAGGCAACTAGGGAATGACATAAATTATCTCGCGGCTGTATAAATGGACAAAAGTGACACATGAATGGCTTTCATCATTACCCTCGCTCTCTGTCCAGCTCCCTTTGCTAATTCTCTGTATCTGTAACTTCCACTATAACACAGTCTGGTGTTATTATGTGTTGACAGGGTTGCTGTTTAAAGTGGCTGGCCATATATAATTCATGACTGGAACGGCCTCTCTCTCCCTTTCTTTCCTGACCATCAGCACTTTCGCCCGTTGTAATGTTTCTACATGTCGGGGCAGGCCGAAATGGGGACCGCCAGCTGGGCGACAGACAGAGAGCCGCACACTCCTCCCAACGCCCCACCAGCATCCCGACTTTCCCTCAGATTCATGCACCATCTCCCATCGCTCAGTCCTCACAGCATGGCACCCACCAATTATGTAGTCAGACCCACAATCCTCCAGCAGAGAACATTCAACTGAGGACCGTCCAAGGAGCAAAAGTAACTACAGAAATCTGTGCCACACGCTACATAAGACACACAGATGCTGTTTTGTCACCAGCATTTCTATTTTCAACTATTAATATTGAAGAATGATTGTAATAAACAAATGAGACCACAGTTGAGGAAGCAGTTCTCACATCTCATGCCAGTGGTATGTTTAGCTGCTGTTTTTCCAGAATGAGGATAAACCCAATTCTCGCTGTCACAAACTCAATTTTCTACTTCAGTTGAAGGTTTTCTTTTTGTGTCTACTGAAGAGGATAAACACGCTGGAAGATATTTTCCCAAGAAGCACCCCTCTCTCTCTGTTCTGAGCCATAAAGAAATCCAGCAAACCAGTGTCTGTTTGCAGCCCTCTGACTTAAGTGTTTGAAGAACTTCACAACCGCCGCTACGATCAAAGTAGTGCAGAAACAGACGCATCAACATTCACCGGAGACACGCCAAACTCCAGTGTGGTAGTTCCACCCAGTGTTGGATTATTCAAACAATGTTTAAGTCTTGTTTTTAAGGTTTAAAATTTCCACATGGTGCAATATTACATCAAAAGAATTCACAAAATGTTAAATGTGTTTCCTTGTAGCCATTCTGGCGGCGGTGCTCTATGAACGGCAGTCACTACAGAGGGACATTTTTCAACATCTATGTGACAGATCAGCGTAAAACTGGACATTTGCAGTTGTGTTTAGCACTAATTACCAAAGGTTAGCATGATAGCAGTATGTGTTCACATTCCATGGGGGTCTGTGGTGACACTTTACAGTTTAGAGAGGTTAGATCGTAAGACAAAATCCTGCTCCTATTGGAGACAAAAGATGAAATACACTTTTGTATACTTGTTGTCATGAGGCTGTTGTCCACTGCAGGAACTTGCAGGCCATTTTAGGGCTGCTGGAATTTTCATGCAAGCTCCGACAGCAAGAACCGGCCCCGTACAACCTCTCTCAGGGATGCTTTTGATGTTTTGGTTAAACTCAGAGAACACAAATGCTGATTGGTTAAACTTACAGACGACAACAAAGCCAATTTTCTGCTCTCTTTATATCCTTCTCAAGTAGAAATCTTCTCCTCTTTAATACCTTCAATATAAACTAACCATATATGTTCTCTTTCCTATGTGCTCATACAACTGGAATTATGTTCAGTTGCTACTATTTGTGGTTGCTTTGGAACATTCAAAGTTTCCATCAAGTTGTTGGATCCTACACAGTTTTGGTTTGAAAGTGCTGATTACGGAGCCTGTGAACATTCGTGTCACAAATTCTTGCAGTGGAAAGCCACCTACAGTCTCTGGCCTGTCCTTAGTTTCTCTTCTGTTCTCCCTTGTGTTTCTTAATGTTTTGCTAATTGTCATGTCTCCTGCGCCTCCCTGTATCTGCCCCCTCACCTATTCATTTGGTTAAAGTTCCCAAGTCTCGTTTTTGTTATCATTTCCCGTATTATTTTGGAATCACCTTCCTTGTGTGACTTTGGTTATTTTGCCTCCTGCATATTCCCTCCTCTGTGACTGTCTCTTCGTCCCTGATGGTTTTCACCTGCGTCTCATTACCCACACCTCCCCAGTGTATTCACTCCACGTGCTTTTATGGTTCACTTTGCCAGGTCATCCGTGTTAGTAGCCTGTGTTCTTGCCCAATGATTTAATTGTGCCTTTCTTTACTTTTTTTGGATATTTTGGGGGGACTTTGCCTCACCAGCTTCCTGTTCCTTGTCTGAACTTCATCAGCCTGGAATTAAAGCTCACGTTTTGTTTCCTCAACCTGCTGGCCCTGTGTCCTGCATTTAGGTTCTCTCAGAACAGAAACCATAGGCTTGTCTCATTTTTCTATTTTGAGCATCCTCCTTTTTCCTCCTGCATGTGACCCGGAAAACGATCTTAGCACGCCATCTTGAAGGATTTCTAAATTCCTAAAATGCAACCTCAAGGAGAGAGGAAGGTTGCTGGAGGAGCAATGAGTGAGGATGCACAGTTGTATCATGGCTGTATCCTTTGTGGAAGTTTTTTCAGCATCCATGATGTAGAAAAGAGGCAAAACACAGCTGTAATATATACAAACCATGTCAGGAGCAGGACTTAAAAATAAGTGTATAAAATAAATACCACTCAGTCTTAATTGAGTGTCACTCTGTTTCTATTCTTTTGTGTGTCATGCCTCATTTATACATCACCTGTGTGTAAAATGTATGAGAGCTCTACATTCTTGTCACATTCTGCCACTTTGTGAATTGAGTTCTAAGTAAATACATACTGTAAGCTGTCATGAATACCACTGTGCTCAGAGATCATCAAATACAGCAGCAGGCTATAACAAAACAATGGACAGATGATGCAGCTGTGCTACACGTCATATTTAATTGACGATGCTTTAAAACGACGCCTCCGAAGCGAAAGATGTCTCATTTTGTTAAATGTCTGTTGCCTCGACTATTCTCCCCTCCGCTCGCGTCTCTGAGAGGAGTTGAAGAGAGGAATCGAGGATGCACAAGCTCAGAAACAGGAGGAGGGACATAAATGTACTAATGAGTGTGTTTTTATTATTTTGATCCAGGCGCAGGATGTGCAGATTTACAGACAGCAAATCAATGAGGGGCCCAAATAGATGCTGCACACCTTTGGGCTAATTTGTTGGTGATGTAATAGCCTCAGTGTTTGCAGTTAAACCTAAATGATTTATGAATTTTCCAGTTTTTACATAAGAGGACACTGACAGAGTGAGCAGGTTGTTTTTGGTATAAACTCGCTCGGCTTACTTGAAGGCGTAGCGCAGGAGGAAGCTGATCTTGCCGCAGTTGTCGCCCGCTTTGCCTTCACCCTGGTCGCCTTTGGGTCTGTAGAGCTCCGGTTTGATCTGCCCAATGCTGGTTACCTGCTCCTTCTCCTCTCCGTGGAAATCAGGGCTGGAGAGCTGGTGAGTCATGGGCTTGGGCCTGAACAGACACATAAGAGCTCAGAGGGTGAATAATAAGCAACGAGCACCGAACACACACATGTACTCACAAATAATAAAAATAAAAAAAAACAAGAGCTGCTATGCAACAGTGTGATTCAGCAGCCTAATCAGAGATTCAGAGTTTACCCACAAATTTTAATTGCCTCAGAGTTTCTGCACCTTTTTAACAATAATATTTGTGGCTGAGTTTGTGCCAGTGTTTTGTGAAAATCTGAAAATGTCAGCCTCGTTTTATTCAAGACGATCTCTGGTATAGAATGGTTTAAAGCAAAGTCCAAGAGGCTGTGCTTCTACTGAAGTGCTCATTAGAAGAGAGCAAGATTAAAGCCAATATTATGTACCTTAATATGACTTTTTTTTTCAGTGTGTTTACAAAAGCAGCATTTTCCAGGTAGAGTCCTTCTTCTTGTAATGTATGTTTTTAATCAGTTCTGCTTTACTGATCACTGGCTGGAGACTGAAGTTCATTCCTGTTTTTATTCACCTCTACATCTCGGAATTTTGCACCCAAAACACCAACAACTACCAGACCTAAACAACGAATAAATACACATATACATCCAGCAGAGTCGTGCACTGACCGTGGGGTGACCTGCTGCTGGGAGTGGGCGTTGGGCAGGTCTTTATGGGGGTGGGCTCCACCCTCTGAGTTGGGGACATCTGGAGACGTCTGACTCAGCTTCAGAGTTCCTGCCAGAGTAAAGAAAAAAATAAAATAAAATCTTCAGTGTCTATTTTTGAGCTTCTCTCTCTCTCTTTTTTTTTTAGTACTGCTGTGGTGTCAGTCGTAACAGTGGCACTAAAGACCAATGTTTTTGTCAGCATCATTGATCTCATTGATTGTATTACTTTGATTTAACAGGCAGTGATTTAGCAGCAGAGGAGGGGGAGGAATGAGCAGACATATTTACAATAGCAGAACTTGAGCCAGCATAAAAGGGATGTGAAAGAAGGGTACATCCAACTGCAATAAAGGCAGCCAGCAAACATTTGACTTTGAATAATGATAAACAACCTGCGCCAGAGCTGACAGCCAGTGCAAATAACAACGTCAGAGTGAGAATGCATGTGAGCTGTAAAAAAAAAAAAAAAAATCTGATCCAAAATATCTCTGACATAAAAAAAAAAAGCTTTCTCTCTTAGCTTGTCAATCTAACTGGTGCTTTTTTTAAAAAATAATGTTGAGCTTGATTTCATTGTCTTGATGTCTTAAAGTTGCGTCAATGAGGATCTTTCTGCGTTTGTGTTGCAGCTGCAATTTGGGAATATTTTATTTGGCATTTCATGTTGTTGATGTATTGTTTGATCAAAAAAAAAACCATCAGACAAAACAGTTAAAATTGCCAGTTAATCCATGTGATTTCTCTCCGAGAGCTAAAGGCAGTCTTATCAAAAGTCTTGGATACTTTTAAACGTTAAATTTACGAGGATGTAAGATGATGAAAAACTCCTGATTGAGATGCTGTAACCAGAATTTTTCTTGAAAATGACTAAATATTTGTCAGAACAGTTGCTAATTATTATTAGTTAATATTAAAGCTTGTTCCCAGCAGCTGTTTCCTGCAAGCAAACTCTGATAAACTTAAGTGCTGAGGAAGCAGCCTCAGAGCTCGATTTTCACCCAGAATAAAGCTAATTCACCAGCTGGCCAGAAACAGCACTCTGAAGATCTTCTGGTTGCAAACATGTAGCCTGTAACAAATCATTACTCTGCCAAAAATTGATTAATGCAGCTTGAAGGAATAAACAAATTAATCCTTAAATGAAAATGCTGCTGATGTTTGCTGTAATTGAAAGACACATGCGGCCTTTTCATGAGTTTACTACTGAGTATCTAGTCGGAGACAAGGCCAGAAAGATGAAAAAGTATGGTTCCATGAATGTGGCAACACTGAAGGAAAACCCATTTATATGTACAATAGTGGTCAGCATTCATCATCATGGTGCAGCAACGGCAAATTATTTTCACAGTACGTATGTAAATGTAGTAAATTCTGAGTGTATTAAAATGAGAGGTTATTGATGGAGGTGTTGCATTACTCTTACAGCCAGAGTGGGATTAAGTGTGTCTGTGAGCTCGCTTCTCACCAGCGTTGTTGGGATAGGAGTCCATGTCCAAGTAGGAGTGCTCCTGGGTCTCATGCGGCCCCCCAACAACTCCTCCGACCCCCCCACTCTCCAGCCCCACCAGGTCAGAGAAGTGTGGGTGGTGCTGGCCCTGCTGGCCCAGAGTGGGGTACAGCGAGGACGAGGAGTGGCCCTCCTTCCTCTGCAGCAGGGGGGGCAAGAGCGAAGACCCCCCTGCGCCTCCGAGGCTTCCGACGCCGGCGCTTCCGGGCAGCAACCCCGACGTCAGGCTCAGGCCTCCGCCCTCCTTGTCCCGCCATGGCAGCCAGCAGAGCTTCCAGGAGACGAAGAGGGAGACGGAGAGGAGGACGATGCCGCAGAACGTCACAATGACCGACAGCAGGCTGACAGAAATCTCTGCAGAGGACCAGACGAAGGCAAAGAAAGGAAAAATAGGAGATTTAAGAAACAGAATTGAGTCATAACTAAAAAGAGAATGTAGTTTTAACAAGACTGCAGCTCCCGAGGTTCCACTTAGGCACAGCAGAGCTTAATGCTAACATGATGATGTTCAGGAGATATAATGTTTGCAGTGCTCACCAGTTTAATGCGACAGCGTGCTAAAGTCTCCTAATTAGCACCAAACACAAGCTACAGCTGACGTGGAAGGAAGCGTCTTTAGGTGTTCAGTCACAAACCAGAATACTGCACAAATGAAAACTTTGAAGCTGGAAGAAAAAGTCAGGGGATCACCAAAGTTACAATTAACCTCGAAGGGCGTACAAATGTGTGCAGAAAATGTCACAGCAATCTATCTAATGGTTGTTGAGACATTAAAAAAAAAAAAACACAAATGGTGGTGACAGAGGAAAAAAGTCGTCATGTAAGAAATGTTTGTCCAAAAATTAGTTTAACTGACTGTGGGTCTGCGAGTCCTACAGTTATTTTTAGCCACCAGCAGGCATAAAAACAACAACCTCATCAGTATGCGCCTGGTATTTACACTTTAACACATCATACATATGGCTAACAAATCAACAGCAAACCTCTGCACGATCAACACGCCTCCCTCACACAACATGCCATCACCAGCATCACCACAGTATCTACAAATCACACATCACGGTGCAGGAGAGGGAACCTGCTGTAGGCGTAAATTGCAATATGCAGCCATCCCCTGAAGCTCATATCCACATTTGAATGCTGAGCTTAAAATGGGGGCAAACGCTGGCAGAGTGGATGTTCTGAGGGAAGGAGAGCAGAGAGGAGGGAGGAGCATGGGAAAAACAATTTAAAAAAAAATAAAATAAAAAACATCCACAGTGATGTCTCTATGCAATGTCATCTGGCATTTCCTCGTGGTTATGAGCTTTTTAATCTGTGACGGCTCAAGGATTGTGTCTGAGGGTGTGTGTGTGGGTATGTGGGGGTGAGGGTGTGGGTGTTGGGGAGGGTGGAGTATGACTCATCCCAATGCAAAAGTGTACAGAATAAAAAAGAAAAGGAGTTTTAGCAGCAGATTGCCGGACAGTTTCAGCACCAGACTGCGAGAGCGAAACAGTCGATGCACGCTCGGAAACTTCTGCACTTTGGAGCGCGCAACATCTGCACGTGTCGGACCCTCTGATTTGTAAATTCATGATAAATTCATCCATTTGTAAATACCTAATAAATATTCTATGAATATTTATGAATAAATAGACTAAATATACAATGAATATTTATTATAATCCTGGACCATTTGAAGTCTTTTTATAAATAGCATCCTTTGGTCTGATGACTGTCTTAACAAAAGGACCAATCAGAGCCCACAATGAACTATAGGCCCAGAGCCCTGAGCATGAATATTCATGGTTCAGAAGTAGACCAAGAAGACGGCACAGTGTACAGATCTCACAGACTGTGTGCTCTTCTCCACCTTGCAGTATCTGGGTAAAATTGTTGCTTTCTTGCCCTCCATCCAGACCAGAGAGGCCACCGATTACGGATCTTTTCCTGTCGTTTGCGTAGAAAAGCAGTGTCTCGCTGTCAGAGTTTTCCCCCACAAAACTCACACAAAGGCCTTGTTTTCTTTTGCCCCGTTTTCCCTTAATTTACTTCACAGTGTCTTTATGGGCATGACAAAGACATAAGCACTGTTAAATCACACAAAAAAGAGTGAAATTTTATCTGTAGCAGCCTGACAACAAGACTGACGGCAAATGAGTGAAAACAAGACAACAGCAGCCAATCCTCCAGCCCTGGGCTACATCTTCTGGAATTCGGTTTGCCTTCTGTCTCCACCCGCCCTCCCTTGTTCCCTCTCTTCTATATAATCCCCTCAAACACCCCTTGTTCCTTGCTGTCATTTCTTTTCCCATGCTGTCTGCCTCTGCATGCTCTCCTCAGCGACTGTGTCTTTGTTCGTCACCCCTACCTTCTCTCTCTCTCTCCGTCTCCCCCCCTCCTCCCCGCCTTGCCTCTGCTTCCTCCCTCTCTCTTTGGTGAATTATTCATCAGTCTGTGTATGTCATTAATCAGCACTTGTTCAAAAGATATGATTGGGGGGCCGCGGAGGTGGGGTGCAGGGGGATGGGCGAAGGGGGGGACATCGATCTGTCGCGGTGGAGAACAAGATGGGGTGGGAATTGAGGAACGAGGGATGGAGAAAAAAAAAAAGGAAGCAAGGCGAGAGAGAGAGAGAGCGTGGTGATCAGGAGACAGGAGGGGGGGGAAGTGATAGAGGAAAGGAAAAGAGGGCAAAGGAAGGTAGAGTGAGGTAGAAAATGGCAAGAAAAAAAAAAGGATAGTAGTGATGAAGTGGAATGGAGTGAGAGAGAAAAAACCGATTCGATCCACAGAATGGCCAGTAGGGCCATGAAAGACAGAAGGGAGAGGGCCGAAAACAGATTGGTGTACATGTTGAAAGAGACATATAAGCTGACTGAGTCTATACCCCTCTTTTTGTTTCTCCTCCTGAGCCTGACGAAGGAAGGGAGAAGGGTTGATAAAGTCGATACAACTACCATGTGCCGTGTGTGAGAGAGTGGAAACCAAAAAGGCAATGAGAGAGAAAGGAAGAGTCGGGGGAACCACAAAGATGGAAGAAAACAAGCTGACAATGATTTAGAGCGAAACCTAAAGAGGGGAGGAGTTTGAGGATGAGAAAGGTTAATGTATTGATCTAGAGGGGGAAAAACAAAGCGAGGAGGAGGCAGAGGAGTAGGTTGTGTGTGGTTGGCAGATCAGGGTGCACTGATAAGACACGGCTGTGATCAAACGTGTGCAGGGACTGTCAGGGGCCAAACCACTCTCCTCCATTTGTCTCTCTTTAGGGCAGTCGCCGTACCTTCCCGAGCACTGATCCTGCCAAAAGATCCATCGCTAATCCACAAAGCATAAAAAAAAGCAGCTCAGCAGGCGGGTAGGTGGGTGGGTAGAAGGCCTCTGAAGTGCGTCGTGAAGAGGGACTGAGACTCCCTGTCAATCAGCAGCTGATGCAAGCCCACTGAGAGTCGTACATCGCTCCACATCAAACACATCCCCGCTGCTTACACAAGCCATTCACTGACAGCTTTCAGCGGCCGCGGTCCTCCGAGGGATCGCCGGGTTCCATCAGCAAACACCGAAAAATCACAGCTGGTAGGCGAGGGGGGCCAACGCCTAAAACCATGGCATGACATTTCTTCACAGAGCCATCCAAATCTCCGGAGACGACACACAGCCAATCCGGGCTAATCTACACTGAGCCACAGATCCACGCTAATCTGCATAACAGCACACTGCACTTCGAAACGCCTCAATGAGAACCCACATACAATACTGGGCACTGTGAACCCACTCCAATGTACCGAATCAGTTTGGGGAAGAAAAAAAAAATTAAGAAAGAAACGATATTATTTTGTGTGTTTTTATTTTTTTTTAAACTAAACTGAATAATCTAGTTCTGAGATAAATCTTTTGGGGATCATAAAAGAAATGGAATGGACTTGTTGTCCCACAGCCATTTCAATCTAGCACTGAATATTTCATGGTTTTTGTGTTCTGAGTGCAGACTACCACTAACTACCCTTGAATATAAGCTCTCTTAACACTTCTCTTATCACACCTTAAAGTCTAGAATGGATCTTGTTGGGCTGTGACGAGTCAATACTCAAAATTTCCACTTTCATGGCAAAATATGCGAGATATATTTTAAGATACAAGTATTACGAGGACGTTTTTATTCTTTCAGGTGTGAAGCCTTTTGCAGATCATAATGGGATGCTGAAATTTTTCAATAAAGCCCTTATTAAAAAGAATATATTATGAATCTTTTTCCGAGCATTCCCTCCCTGCACGCTCGGAAGGTGTTAGTTAAGTTCACGTTTCCCCCACACAGTACAGCTGCTGTGGTCCTCCTGAATACATTAAATTGAAAAATCAAAGCTATCTTTAGCCATCTTCATGGTGGGAGAAAAGTATGATAACATACAGAGCTGCCATGTCAGGCTTTTGCATATTTAGCCACACTTCGCTAAAACTGCGAGTGTTTGGAGCACACCGAGCATATGGCTGCACAGCAGAGGAGTTATTTATTCTGCGGGATGTGTTTGAAAAGTTTTGATACTTTCTCCACTGCGAGAGCTTGTTATAACTGCAGCACATTTAAACTGACACGACTCAAGCTGACCACAGCTCCTGTTGTGCATCAAGGAGGAAATTATCACATTTTACAAGCCACCTTTCAAGTGCAAGTCTTTGATACTAAAAGGGTGTTTTTCTAGTGAAGAGAGAGGCAGGTTTCACCGCAGGTTTTTAGAAGAAAGAATCAATCTTTACGCATCAATTCATTTTCAAAATGCTTCCAAGGTGTGTGAGTTACCTGCGTCCAGCTGTCTGTTGCGGCCCCTCAGCAGGTAGCTGAACTCCTGGCAGCGTTCGCTCTGGCTGTAACCCCTCGGAGAGTTGAAGCACAGCTCCTCCACCAACACCAGCGCCTTCTTACACAGGTCTTCATCCCAGTCCCCCGACATCCTCCAATCCGCATCGCACTCTCACCAGCAGTCAGCCAATGACAGCGCAGCCCTCGCCGCCCTCACCGATTGGACGGCGCTCGGGTGAGAAAAGTGTTGGCCCGTCCACCTTTTACAAGGTGCGAGCCGAGAAAGACGAGGCAGAGGAAGCTGAAGGAGGAACACGAGGGGCTCGGCAGGGTGTCTTGGTCTGGATCACAGAGACCAGCGTGACATGCTCATGTGTGACTGAGCAACACCCTCCCCTCTCGCTTTCCCTGAGACAGATAAGGGGAGAGAAACTGGCAACGTGAGTGTAAGGACATAAAAGTGTACAAATCAAGTTTCTGGCAGATTGGTCACCTTAGCCATTAAGTGAGAACAGAGATGCCAGAACCATCAGTGTGTCCCTGATAGATCATTGGCTCTGGTGCTACATAATATTGCTTCAGCACACACCATGAGGAGTGATACTAGGAAACTGGCATTATGTAAAAAGTGAGAAAATCTGATCTTGTCTCAGACGCAAGTAAATTCTAAGAATCCTGATGTGTGATAAAGTCTGACACATTTTTCCCACTCACCACTTCTCTGGTTACTGGTCACACCGAGGCTTCTGTCACTATCACAGGCCTAACTGTTAGCGATTTTTACATTTTTGCATCTGCTAGAAAACACTTTCCCATAATAACTGCTAACATTAACAACAGATGTTGCTTTAGGCATTGTACTTTGCTACTGCATTTTTCAAATGCTTTGAGAATCACAAGTGATTTTCCAATTAACTGTACTGTACAGGAGCTCTTGGGTAAATAAAGCACCATATAGTCTATGTATGTCAGGAAGAACCAAACAAATGAGTTAATGAGCACTAAATTACCTGTTAAGGTACAAATACGATAGTTTTTTTTAAACTGAAATGGATGGAAAAAGCAGCTAAAAGCTGCGTGGAGCTGTGCACAGTGGGATGCTGATGCTAATTTTCTCATCCCTAAAAGCAACCATTTCACATTACATTTAATTGAATTTCGAATTAACAGGTAAATGGACATTTGCTTACCACTTTGGGAAATGAAGGAAGTGAATGATAGGCAACATTATACAGGTAGAATTGTGTGCCTTACAAAACTTTGCTGCAGTGATGAGTCAATATTTAATTTTCAACATTTCTAAATGGATACACTGCATAGCAAAAGCCCTAATTTTAAATTTCTATCACTTAAACGTCAACCTTCTTTTGAATAATGCCAGATTCTTCACTCAACACGGTGCACACATAATTGCAAAGAGCCCCACTGTCAATTACCTCCTGGGGATTCATGGTTTGTGTGGTGTCTGAAACTGACCAATGGGTCAATCATCTTGAAACTTTATGTTGTATTTCAAACTAAGACATTTTTTACTGTAATTACAGAGTGATTTAGATGATTATGAGTTCTCTTGTGTTGAGTCTCCGAAACACAAATATATTGAAACCACAAAAACAGTGCATGAGCGAGAGTCGGTAATGGCTCTTTTTTTCTCGTAACAAATGCCAGAGTCAGATTAATGCACAAGCCTCTTGGCTGAGGGAACCTATCAGCTAATTTAGATTTAGCTTCACATTTTGCTCTATAGATCCATTGTACTGAAGGAAGAATCCAAATTAAAGCATTTCATTAGCTTTAATAATGTAATGCAGATACAGTTTGTGTGTTTTACCTTTATTGAACTCAACTCTCGTGGTTGTGGGCCATCCTGAATTTGCAAGCCAGAGCGCAGACACTCTCCATGTAAAGTTGTCTTTGCAAACAGATTTGGCTTTGGAATGCAGAGCTATGCCTGCAGTGCATGCATAACCTTTAGCTTGTTATTTTCCTAATATTTCTGAGCTCAGAAATGGGACCTGCAGACACGTGTTTTCCTTTTCCGCTGCAAGCCGAGTTCAGCTCTTAGTCACTTCGCTCCAACAGAATTTGATGGAATGCATCAGTGTCCCTGGTCTCTCCAACACATCAGCGTGGATCAGCATCAGATTTGTGGAGACTCTTTTGCTAAGCTCCCCAACAACACCTGGAAAACAATATGAATCGATCAATCAATAAGGTGCATGATGACTAATACAGCAGAGAAGAAACAGTAAGGACACTAATAATAAACTGAATCCTCCGCCAGTGTTCAGAGGACTACAAACTCGTACCAACATCAGATTGAGATATAATTAGATGTATTAAGTTTGGCTCCCTTATGTGCACACTCCTTGTCCTTTCATCCGAGAGGAAACAGGCCTTCTTTAGCATACTTGCTTTATTTTTGATCTCATTCTGTCAAAATAAAAACAGGTCAATGCCCAAACTCCAGTTTCTCACAGTCTGTGAGTCTCCGGGGACTGTGACTGAGAATATATGCAATGTTGTGTCTCACAGTACAGATCCACTGCAAAACCTGCTACTATTGAATATGTATCACCATAAGATCTTGTCCACGTGGTGTGGTTGGAGAATAAATCACTGGCTACAACAATGTTCATGGTGAGAGGTCAACTCACTTTTCCACTGAGCTGTTTTGTCCTTGCGAAGCACCGGTCCTATTTCTCAAGCAAGGTGCCTCGTCAGACAAGGGAAGGACTATTGATCATTTGATGTATGTTGTTCTGTGAAATGTCAGCGTCAGTCTTTGTGCACTGAGTGGCACCTCCCCAGCAAAGTGCTCTTTATGTGTCCATCTGTCTCCTAGCCATCAATCAATCACAGCATTAGGCAAAGACATATTTCACTCCGAACAAGATCCGAAACAAGTAATGCCTCCACTTTTTCTAGTCTTCTGTCTCTTTGCTTGAAGGGAGAAACACACTTTTCCTCTCTTGCTCACCCTATGTCTCTTTGGAGAAACTGATTGTCACTTTCTGTCAGCGCACAGATAACACAAAGTCTATTTACCTGTCCATCTCGGCACAGCCTATTGCAGAAATTAATCCAAAATTAGTGCATCAAAATGCCATCCAGACGCAGCATCTTCCATCGGCCCTCCCCTTGGCCCTCCCTTTCACTCTCTCCCAGTAAGATAGCAAATCTGTCTGAGTGACTTTAAAACCCAGGATATCTCAATCTGAGGAATGGCTGTCTGGCACACAACTGGCCTGTAAGAGCATCAAGAAGGAGGGAGAGGCGAAAAAGAAATGGAGGAGACAGACGGACAGAAAGAACGATTGTGTAGCAAGAGACGGAGGAAGAGGAAGAGGGAGACGGAGAGGAGAGAGGGATAAGAGAGATGCTGACATTAAATTGGAGGCGAGACAGATAAAGAGGGAGGGAAAAAATTGGAGCAGAGAAGGGCAGAAAAAAAAAAAACATAGGGAAGCTGGCGGCGAGGGTGACACAGCAACAATGGTAATCAAGGTTTTGGGGATGCAATTTACTACAAGCAAAATATTTACAGAGGATGGTTATTCACAGATAAATATGCCCTCAGAAGCGTGTTGAGGATTCACTCAGATAGCACCATGCCCAGAAACACACGTTTTTCCTACTGTAGCGTACAGAGCAACACTAAACCTCCCACAGACGCTCCATTGACTGCTGTTCTGCCTGGGATCAATACTCTCAGGGAGCGAATACGCCACAACACAGACCAGTCGACCAGTAAGGTCACCGTCCGGCTGGGCAGAGGAGACAGGACGCGGCGCAAGGTCACAGTCTAATCACACCGCGGCGAAAGAAGAATCAGTCCTGTCCAATCACATCGCAGAAAGAAGATGGGAACTGGACGAGATCTGTCCCCAATCATGGAAGAAGCAAGCCGATCAGATCAGGGGCTAAATCTGGCCAGAAACAACAACCACACACACCCGTTAGTAGCTTTAATGGATATAAACCCAGAATCAAGAGTATATCACTAAGAAAGAGTGTTCAGACCCAGACAGGTGTCCTTGGCCAAGATACTGAGCCCCTCGCTGGCCCCTCCGTTAATCACTTAGGATAAGAGCATCAGCTAAATGACTCATTTTTAAAGGCTCAGTCCAGCCGTTACATCCTCAATCTAGCTTATAGGTGATAAAGCAGATGAGGCATTTATGTTTGTATCCCCTTTTAATGAAGGGATCTTTCTTGTATTTGCACAAGGAGGACAGGTTTGAAGCAGCCCTCAGGTGCACGGCGAGCCGAGACATAAAATATCCAAACACTCCGGTACAAATTGATGTGAGGAACCACAGCAAAAATGTGAAAACAGCCCAACACGGCACACAGCATTTCTTATTGCAGGGGCAAACACTAATAAATATTTATCTAATATTGAATACACTCCCTCACTCTTTTTTTGAGCAGTTGTATTGGATTTCTACTTTTTTGAAACATTTTTTGGGGGGAGGGAAGGCACAGCAATCCCGACACAAGAATTCCACCCCTCAGTCAGAAATTCCACTGAAACAAACACAAACAAAAAATCCTCGAGCATGTGAATTTGATAAAACCCAGGGGGGCAGGTTTTTCTCAGTAACAAGGATCGTGTTAGAGAGCGCAACTGAAATCTGAAATCTGCATGTGGAATCTGTCTCTGAGGGAAGAATCACACACCTCAGCTGGGTTTGGGAATTACAGTGATAAGGCGTTTGAAACGCTGCTGTCTGTTGAATGAGAAGTAGAAGACAGTCAGATGTGTACTACAAACCTCTGATCTATTGCAACCCCATATCATCATCCGGCGTTTCATTTTCTAGACAGATGATATATTTGTCTTTGTGTTGAAGAAAATACATTACATGAGAGTCTGTTGCAGTTTTAGTTTTTCCATTTCCGAGGTATCTGGATTAATTATATCAGCTGCACCAGTGGAAAAAATAGCAGCATTACCTTGAGGTTTTTCTGAAGTTAATTTTACCTGCAATCAGGGAGGTTTAAGTTTGCATCCTTATTTGCTCTTTATAAAAATCTTTGTCAGTCCCCTCCGATTCACCTCCTCACTCTTTATTAGGCTAGAACTAATGTGAATTACTGTTTATTGCTAAAATGTCTAACTACCTTTATGAGGAAGAAACTGAACACCTTCATAATTGCAAAATT